TCTTCCTCCTTCTTCTTTTGTTCTCTCCCTCCCAATTCTGTGTCTGTCCCGAAACTGGCGTTCGATATGGAACATCTGGTCCCTCCCCCCCCTTGGGCTGGTACAATTCCGTGATATTGTTCAGCTTGCAGCTGTAACAGTTATTGTTGATTTTTTCACCCTGATTCTTCTTCTCACACAGACTTCTCCACCCTTGTATGGATTGAGTTTTCAGAGTTTCTTCTTCTCCAATTCTTTGGATCTCTCAGCAGTTTTCTAGTCCTGTTCCTTCTCGTCGTTGCATATCAGTATTCTTCAACCTTAGTTCTAAGTTTTCTTCCTCGAAATATCATCTCCATCTCTTCTTACTTTTCTTCTGTGGGCAGTCCTTGTAGGACACTCCTCTTGAAAATAAAGCACCTTTAATCTCCAAATCTTCATCGCTTTCTTCATCTTCAACTTCCATCAGAGATCAAATCTCATTGTACCCTTCTTCGTTTCTCTCTTGCCAACTTCCTTCTGATCACAGAGTCATATCCACCCATGACCTCTCTCAATCACTCTCATCTTCATCATCTTCATCTCCTTAAATTCCCAGACATCTCGGTTTTCTTCCTTCTGGAGTTCTAAATTCATCTTCATCGTCGTTTCTGCTCGTATTCGTCTTCATCTCTGATGCCATAATCACCCTATCTATTATTTGTCTATATTTCTGATGCAATAATCACTCCTGGAGGATCATTGTAAGCTGAGAATAAACATCCCTAAGCTCTACTTTTTAAACCTATCTTATCGCTGACATATTTTATCAATTTCTGTTTGAGAATGAAGGGCAACTTTTGTTTCACTTGCCGGATACCCTAGCAACACTTTAATTAAAGGATTACCACTATTTCAACCCGTGTAATGACTTTCATAGTCATTGTGAACTATCCTATTTTAGACTATATAAGTTATATAGGCTTCCCCCCTGTAATTCTTAATATAACCTAAACAAATCCATTAACCATCCTGAATAATTAACCCCAATTCCTATTCCTATGTCACCAATATCAATTAGTGTTGGGTATATTACCACAACCCATCAAATGCAAGTAAATTAGTCAACTTCAAAGCAATCCCAAAAACAAAGCCTCTAACCCTATCATTACTCCAATTCCCATCAAACCCCAGTGATACACAGAGCATCCAAAATGCAATTTTTAATGAAATAGTATTTGCCAAGCCCATGTAAAATCGTCATAACATCACATATTCTGTTAGGATGAGTTTGTGTACTAGCCTGATCCGATCCTCTCGTCTGCCTCGTCACACCTTGTTCGTGACGCACACGTCAGCCCCTTCTCTCTCTCTCGTCTCGCCGTTCCATGTTCCTCTCATATTTCACAACAACATAGAAACATACACGATTTCAGCAGTTAATGCAATCACTGAGTATTTCCAACCATCCAATATTCGTTCGTTCTACATTATTCACTCTAAGACTAAACTCAGAACTAAATAGATCGCTCAAAAACCTTTTTTATTTTAATCCGTTATTTAATTATTTAATTAAATGTATTATAATCCGCTACCATATATCTAATTTATAAATTCAATAGGTCCCAAAACAAGTTTCATCTTAACCCACCGCCGTTTAAACTTATAAGATTCGTGTTAAAATCTCTTTATGCGTATTTGTTCCGTCGTCTGTGTTCCTCTGTCTCCCCCTGCAGTTTAACCAATGTGTTGTTTTGCAGAAATCCACGCATGCGCAAATATCATTTTAACCTCATGCTTGAGTTTCAGCATCCCCTCGTGGTGTCGTTTAGTGCCGTAAAACAAAACGTTCCCTAATCTCGTGCCATAAACTCCTTCCCCGTTTCTGTAGTGTAAATGTTCGCAAATTAAACACATGCCCATACATTTATTAAATAGACGCTCGCAAAACATTTCATTTAAATTTTAATCCTCGTCTTTTAATTGATTTATTATACACCGTCAACAATTTTGATTTAATTTACTACATCTCGCCAAATATTCACGTTCGAACAAAACAGCCGTTTACACACCTAGGAGATTTTTCCCAAAACTCTCTATTCAGGCTATTGTCCCTTCCGACCCCCAAGGACACTATCACCCTTAAACCCTAATGCCGTACTTTTGTTAGCCTTAGCAATAATCCACATTTGTAGTTTTAGCCCCTAAAATCACACTCGCAATCCAATTATTAAAGTCCCATGCTTCCCCAACACAAACGCACAGCATACGCTACAGCTCGCCCATTTAAAAATCAGCCTATCCACACAATTAACCTATAACAGCTCCACAAAACATTTTCCTGACTTCCACACAATACCAATTTTAAACTTGTAAATCCGTCGTTACGCCTTAACACAATCCCTAGCATGTTCAGCACTCAACACATTACAGCCTAACGCCTAGAAACATTATCATAGCACCATCTAACAGTGTACATTAAGCATAATCAACTCACCATTAGCCTTTAGCTAAGTCTGCGGCCTGACTACGCACAACAAATACCTAGCATTGTCCCCAAATGCCATTATCCATATCCATCTAACTTTATGCCTGCCTTGAATGTAATGAATATCATATCTGAGAGTTCCCCCAACCATATCTCCCCGTCGGCAGAGGAGTTATCATACATAAGTTACAACATAATATCATGTTTCCCGGAACCAACTCCAAGCCTACATTCACACAGATTTGTAGCCCACTCATAATATTAATTATATTGACGAGTCGCCCCGTTGAGGTCTTTCCAATTGACATCCTAAGCATCGTATTCCGACTCATTCTGCAAATTGCCGTTAATATCTCTACCATCATTGCTCAAAATTTTTACCGTACCTCAACCAATTTAGAATATTTTCGTTCAGACTCCCAGTTAACAGCCATAACGCCACCCGAAACACGGTCATAAGGGTACACTCCTCCAGTGTACACAAGCAGTAACAAAACTAACAACTTAGCTGTATCTAGTCGGGTCATGACTCCAAATCAAAGTCAGCTTGAGTTAGCTTGGCGACTCCAAATGCAGCAAAGAAGGATTGCATCATCCCTCCTGGCAAGCTCGCCATTCTGTCGTATATGATGAATGGTGGTCATCATTGCTGTCAACAAAAGAGTCCAGCTATGCTGCATCGTGTCAGAGGTTTTTATTCATACCACGAGGTTACAGCATAAATTACAGACACGCGTCGTCTGGAGAGTAGTTGCCTCGAATTATAATAACCACTCTGGGGTTTATTTTCCAAAACCCTTCTTATATAGACACTACCAAAATAAGGGTTACCCCCTCTTCTGGCCAATCACCAGTCTCCCCTCGGGCGTCACCCTCCAAGCGGCACATTTCAAATAACATCATAAAACATCCCCCCTCTGGCCTGAACAACCAACATTCCATTTCGTCATGAAAAACATTTAACAAAGGCATAATCTTCAGATACGATAATTACTTTCTTAGCTACAGTATACATATCTCCCTGGTATATAACATAATTTATGCAGCAGCATACAATACATTTTTGGACTCACCTTGTTGTGCTGGGCTCAAAATGACGGGTCGCCACTGGCCTGGTCTCATACTAGACGTAATATAGTAAACGTATATCCGAGATGCTCAAATACTCATGTTCAAATCTTACCATGGACAGCTTTAGCATTTTAGCTAATTAGCAACATTTCAACTTCTTAATACTTTTTAGCTACTTTGCAACTACTTAGCATGTTAGCTAACCCTTCCCCTAACCCTAAACACAGATAGAACAATGAGACAGATATTTCACATGATGTATAAATGTGAAGGATCCGGTTGGCATTTCCACTCACTACCAAATATTGTGGTGAGAGGAAGCCCAGTGGCCTGCATTGGGAGAAGTGGCCCGTTGGAAACGACAGGCTTTGGTCTATCTTGGGTTAGTTATACAAATATTGCCCTAACCTTAACCCTTTTAGTTAACCCTTCCCCTAACACTAAACGTAATCCTTTAACCTAACTCCTAACCTTAACCTAACCTTAACCCTTAACCCCTAGCCTAGCTAACATTAGCATTAGCCACCTAGTTAATGTTAGCCACAACAAATTGGAATTTGTAACATACCATACGTTTAGCATATTCAGAACATAATGTAAGTTTTGAACATATCATACTAAATGGAGTGTCATTGATTTACCGTAAAGAATAATACAAATGCTCTGAGACCAGGACATTACCCTGGTGGAGTAGAAGAGAGCCAGGGCCTGGAAGGCCACCACTGTGTACTAAACACACTGCGGGCTCATATGGTTGTTGTTGTTTTTGTTGTTGTGGTAAATTACTGTTGTTACCTTACATGAAAGTGTAACAGAAAAGCTTCTTGGGAAAAAAACGACTACAGTAAGTTTCCTCCCACTGAGTGGTGTAAATTTGGCTCAACTAAACATATTAGTTTGCAACTCTGTTTACTGAAAAATAAGCTTCTCTGTAAGCATTATTAGAAGTCCTACACTCCTGAACTAACCAACCACTTTTTCCACATTGCCCAAATACACCACCTAACCCCATGCACCCACCCTGCTGTTTTCCATCGGAAAACAAGCTTGAGTCTCGTCTCTCTAACATCCCTGACTAATGAGAGAGGGACTCTTTGCCAACAACGCATTGGGTGGATGGGTGGAAAACAAAACAGAAAGAAATAGCATTGCAAAACAGAAATAGATGTAGTCCTACACACAACAGTTGTGCTGTAGCTTTGTGACCCTGTAGTTAGGGGCCAGAAAACAGCCATGCCAGATGACTCCATCCAGACAGCGCATGGTAAGATCTGTTTGTGAACCTTGTTTTCCATTCAGGCTGGTTACCCAGGAGTTGTCAGCTCAGCTCTGTCAAGGAAAACCTTACATGATTGGTTTAAACCCTCTCTCATCAATGAAATAGAGGAAAGTAAACATCAGGCCCTTCAAAACACAGAGATTATTTGGGAATGAGGTCCCATCAATATCCCATCCTTAATGGTCATTTAAAACAAAGCCAAAATATTTTATCTCTGTTGTTGTTTATTCTCATTTAATTAGATGATTTATCTACAATTTCAAGGCAGATAGATTATTACATCCAGCTGTACAATTATGGAACATCAGAGGCAGGGTGAACAGATGAAACGTTTTAAATCAGTGTGTGACCAAAGAACAGGTGGAGTAGTCTCAGTCCAAAATGTCTGCTTGTTGATTTAGAAAAATAAAATAAGGCTGATTTAAAAAAGATCAAAGGTGCAGTATCAATCTAATTATCTGAGGATTAGAATATTTAAATTATCAACAATCATGAATAATAGTAATTATTAATTGTTTAATTTACAGAGGTAAAAGTACACAGCTGAAAATAATATTTATCTTCGATGATGGCTGTCAGATTATTTTAGTCAGGGTTTCAGCATTTGACAAAACCTGGAGAAAACACAAGCTTGAAATTAATATACATTCATTTGACTGGGATTTGACATTGACTACAAGACAATCAAACCACACTACAATAAATAAGTTCATTGGTTGGTACATAAATAGGGAGTTATGATTTCATCCGCTTACACAGGCTTCAATCATCTCTTGAGTTGCTCAACATACATTAGCCCATATACTATATATCACAAAATGAAAATAAACCATGAATCATTATTTTAAATACAATGAAAATCACCACAGAGATGATAGATAATAAAATGTTGTAGTACCGTAGATCAAGCATTTATCATGTGCAACTATAAAACAGACTCCAACCTTACCCATATCAATGTCAGCACGTTATATGATTGTATATGACATTTTTATTTATTTATTTATTCCAAACAGTGCTCTTGATCAGTAGTACTGATTTAAACCATAGTTCCTATGCAACCCTCATAGTCACCTATGTGGAGTATTGAGAATCTTCCCCAATAGGTAGCTTGTGTCTCTTTCCACTGCCCTTTGTCAAAAGGAGTCAATGCCAACAACCCACAGGGATTCAAGTCCACAAAGTCCTCTTAAATTGGTATTTTTATATTTTCTCCGTATGGTTGCACATATGAAAACTCTTTCCCAGTCTTTCTCTAGATGAGCAAGGACTAGGCATATCGCTCACAATGGAAACAGTCATCACACTTTCTTTATCAAGGTGGCTGTGAAAGGTGAAAGGTCACAACATGCCTATTCTTTCCATGTGTTGTTCCACTTCCTCAATGTGTTGTGCTGTCCGCCCCGGTATCGCCACTATGTGCAGGACTTAACAACAAGCTCCATTGTGACTTGCTGTTAAACTGCTGTCTGTCTGCTTGAGTCATCAGAACGTTTCCAGAGTGGTTAGAGCCATTAGAGCATGTCGTCGTACGCCTCGCTGACCGGGGCTCTCTTGGTACGCCGCGGCCTCTGGCTGGAGAAGCAGGAGGAGGCAGTGATGGCAATGCGGCTCAGGCCCAAGTTCAGGCAGTGCACCTCAGATGTAACGGGCACCTCGGAGAAGAGGGCGCGGTCGCGGGACAGCCGCATCAGCGTGTCACTGTTCTCAATGTCCTTCACGATGTTCAGGATCTCCTGGCGCTCCGTCTGCCGAGTCATCCCACGGATGTTCAAGATGGCCGACACATGTTTCTTCCTGCAAACAGAGGAGGATAAAGAGGGCTCAGTCTAGCTCATGTTTTGATCTACTAATAAAAATCGACATGCAACAAAGTTGTCATATAGGCCACATCTAGCCAATAAAGCCTTGATTGAGTTGATTTGAGAAGAGTGTATCTTGCATCACTGCAATGGCAGAGTCAACCATCACAAGGACATGATATGGGTGGGAATAAAGAGAATCATCAAAAATATAGAGAGGGCATTCAGCCCTGAAGCAAGTCACTAAGGAACAGGGAAAGTTGGATAAAATAGTTAGCAAAATACCGTTAGTTAGAGAACATTCCCAATGGTTGTGTCACACACTTACAAACACACACACAAAATGAGTAAAACATCTGTCCCTGTTCGATGGTGCCTGACTGGCCTTCGATTCGACACCGTGGCCTCTGGAAATCTCCCTGCGGGCAAGCAGGAGCTGCTCTGAAGCTGCTTCATGTCTGTGGCGACACGGGCTGAGCAGCACGACGAGGCTGAATGACAACCAGCCATAAACACTAACAGCAGCCCTAGCCCTGGGATGGTAGTAACTCCACCTTACCTGACACCCTAGACCCACACCAATTTGCATACCGCCCCAACAGATCCATGGATGATGCAATCGCCATCGCATTGCACACTGCCCTATCCCATCTGGACAAGAGGAATACCTATGTAAGAATGCTGTTTATCGACTACAGCTCAGCCTTCAACACCATAGTGCCCTCCAAGCTCATCACTAAGCTTGGGGCCCTGGGTCTGAACCCCACCCTGTGCAACTGGGTCCTGGACTTCCTGACGGGCCGACCCCAGGTGGTGAAGGTAGGCAACAACACGTCCGCTACGCTGATCATCAACACGGGGGCTCCACAAGGGTGCGTGCTCCCTGTTCACCCATGACTGCGTGGCCACGCACGTCTCCAACTCAACCATCAAGTTTGCAGACGACACAAAAGTGGTGAGCCTGATTACCAACAACGACGAGACAACCTACAGAGAGGAGATGAGGGCCTTGGCGGAGTGATGCCAGGACAATAACCTTTCCCTCAACGTCAACAAAATTAAGGAGCTAATCTTAGACTTCAGGAGACAGCAGAGGGAGCACGCCCCCATCCACATAGACGAGGCCGCAGTGGAGAGGATGAAAAGCTTGAAGTTCCTCGGCGAGCACATTACTGACCACCTGAAATGGTCCATCCACACAGACAGTGTGGTGAAGAAAGTGCAACATTGCCTCTTCAACCTCAGGAGGCTGAAGAAATTCTACAGATGCACCATTGAGAGCATCCTGCCGGGCTGTATCACCGCCTGGTACGGCAACTGCACTGTCCGCAACCACAGGGCTCTCCAGAGGGTGGTGCGGTCAGCCCAACTCATCACCGGGAACACACTGCCTGCCTTCCAGGACATCTACAGCACCCGGTGTCACAGGAAGGCCAAGAAGATCAACAAGGACCTCAGCCACCCGAGCAACGGCCTGTTCACCCCCGCTACCATCTAGAAGGCAGAGACAGTACAGGTGCTTGAAAGCTGGGACCGAGAGACTGAAAAACAGCTTCCATCTCCAGGCCATCCAAGTTGTCAGACCCCGGTGGCTTGTCATCGTTGATAGACAACAATAATTTTTTCACATCTTCCACACTCACTTCACGGAATTCAAAATTCTTGTCTTTTATAATTTGGTCATATATACTTGGATGGGTAGTGTCTGCATTTGTTGATTGCATGGCATGCCTAAGTTTTCTAATCTTGCCAATGAAAAAATCATTAAAGTACTTGGCAATATCAGTCGGTTTTGTAATGAATGAACCATCTCATTCAATGAATGATGGAGCTGAGTTTGCCTTTTTTCCCAACATTTCATTGAAGGTGCTCCATAGTCATTTATATTTGTTTCACAGTGTAGTTTCTTCTTTTTTTTATTCAGTTTAGTCACATGATTTCTCAGTTTGCAGTACGTTGCCAATCGGTTCTGCAGCCAGCCTTATTTGCCATTCATGGCTTTAGAAGCTTCTGATAGGCTAATTGACATAATTTGAGTCAATTGGAGGTGTACCTGTGGATGTATTTCAAGGCCTACCTTCAAACTCAGTGCCTCTCAGCTTGACATCATGAGAAAATCAAAAGAAATCAGCCAAGACCTCAGAAAAAAATTTGTAGACCTCCACAAGTCTGGTTCGTCCTTGGGAGCAATTTCCAAACGCCTGAAGGTACCACGTTCATCTGTACAAACAATAGTACGCAAGTATAAACACCATGGGACCACGCAGCCGTCATACCGCTCTGTCTCCTAGAGATGAACGTACTTTGGTGCGAAAAGTGCAAATCAATCCCAGAACAACAACAAAGGACCTTGTGAAGATGCTGGAGAAAACAGGTACAAAAGTATATATATCCACAGTAAAATGAGTCCTATATCAACATAACTTGAAAGGCCGCTAAGCAAGGAAGAAGCCACTGCTCCAAAACCACCATAAAAAAGCCAGACTACGGTTTGCAACTGCACATGGGGACAAAGATCGTACTTTTTGGAGAATTGTCCTCTGGTCTGATTAAACAAAAATATAACTGTTTGGCCATAATGACCATCGTTATGTTTGGAGGAAAAAGGGGGTTCTTGCAAGCCGAAGAACACCATCCCAACCGTGAAGCACGGGGGTGGCAGCATCATGCTGTGGGGGTGCTTTGCTGTAGGAGGGACTGGTGCACTTCACAAAATAGATGGCATCATGAGGAAGGAAAATTATGTTGATATATTGAAGCAACATCTCAAGACAACAGTCAGGAAGTTAAAGCTTGGTCGCAAATGGGTCTTCCAAATGGACAATGACCCTAAGCATACTTCCAGTTGTGGCAAAATGGCTTAAGGACAACAAAGTCAAGGTATTGGAGTGGCCATCACAAATCCCTGACCTCAATCCTATAGAAAATGTGTGGGCAGAACTGAAAAAGCGTGTGCGAGCAAGGAGGCCTACAAACCTGACTCAGTTACACCAGCTCTGTTGGGAGGAATGGGCCAAAATTCACCCAACTTATTGTGGGAAGCTTGTGGAAGGCTACCCGAAAACTTTGACCCAAGTTAAACAATTTAAAGGCAATGCTACCAAATACTAATTGAGTGTATGTAAACTTCTGACCAACTGGGAATGTGATGAAAGAAATAAAAGCTGAAATAAATAATTCTTATTATTCTGACATTTCACATTTTTAAAATAAAGTGGTGATCCTAACTGACCTAAGACAGGGAATTGTTATATTTTTGCAAAATATGTGTATGCAACCAATAACATTGATTTGATTTTGATGATGGAGCCCAAACTCACTTCCCACCACGACCAGCAATTATCACCCAAAATAATACATAGATAAAGTGGTGGGGAGCTTGGCTTCCAGGAAACCTGACTTGTTTTGAATTTGAACTTTATTTTTCTGTTAGCTACTATGGAGGATTAACTAGCAGTTACATGCAACCAGTTGATTGCAATTGGTCTTTGGAGCGAATTATGTCGTGAAACCAATTAGGGTATTATTCTACATAGTGTAAAGGATAGTATGAGGCTCTGAAGGGTCAATGCCTGGCACAGTTGCCAGCATCAGGTGTGTTCTTTACAGAGGGATTTGACATACTTGATGCAATATGTCAAGGATTGTACGGTACAGTTTCTGTTTTCAAAAGGAACTGGGAGAACCCAGAGGTCAACGGTTACATTCTCCAGATCCAAGTCAAGATACCAAACAATACATGCGGGTCTGTTATGAGTTATGGATGGAGACAAATCATTATTTAGAAAAGATTCCATTGAGGACTGCCTCCTCATGCCTGTGTGTTCCTACGGGACTCTTTAGTAGCTGACTGCCCATGCCAGGTTATGCTACACAGCTACCATTGTCACGCCTGGGCAGGAAGTCCGTGTTTTTGCTTCGTCTTCGCCCAGGACCCGAGATGGATAAACGGACAAGACCCCCTCCCCCCTTTCATGTGTGCCAGCGACGGCCAAACAGCTCCCCATAAAAATAAGGAACCGACTCAGCTCTTGTTTGCTTTTAACAAGTTCACCATTTGCCATCCACAATCGAGACAGAACAGTAGCCATGTTTGTTTTTGGGGTGTTTCAGTCAACCTAAGCTTTTGGAAATGTTGGCACTCATATCACTCGACGGAAGTCCTGAAAATATGACTATCATTCTGCATAGATGATCGCTGCCTCCTGTGCTCCTTACCGAATGTCTGGGAACTCCCTCACCAGGACCCCCACCTCCATTTGGATGGAGGGGATGTCTTCCAGGAGGATGATCTCAGAGAGGTGTGGGATAGCACTGTCCAGCCAGGAGGAGGAAGATTCCTAAAGGGGAGGGAGAAAGAGAGAAAGAGAGAGAGAGAGAGAGAGAGAGAGAGAGGTGTGATAAGAACAGATTAGGATACAACAGTCTAAACAGGGCTATTCATGTTCAACTAGTTCTGCCGCTCATGACAAGTCAACTGGCTATTCTCCGACTCAATGCCTTGGAATCTATGACCTTGGCAACGGATTAAACCCAGAAGTAGATTAAGTGATTTCAAGCCTTAATGGTTACAACTAGAATGGTGATGTTCACGCATTCGTTTGACTGGCGGGAACCATCAGATAACATAGACCCAAAACACCAAGGTTAGAAGTAGAGTGACAGTATTGAGCATGTAAACTCAATTACCTGAGCATCAAAGTGACCCTGTAATTCTGAGAGGACTAAACCGTGTGGTCGACCAGAGGTTCATCCCGGTCCTCCACTCGACCCCAAAGGCCGGTCAGGGCTTCTAAGGCCCTGGGCAGGATGCCAGACCACTTGTCTGTAAACAACACTATCCTGTTGTCAAGAGAGGTGACAAACTGATATTTTATCTAGAGCAATGGGCGGACGCCACAGGGGGAAGGATAGGGAGTGGGCTGGGGTGAGGGGTGAGGGGTGAGGGGTGAGGGGTGAGGTGACTGCCCCCTTGTGCATACGGCCTGCCTGGTCATCCATCTCTATCTCGGCTACAGTACCCATTCTTCACTTGTCTCCTTTGTTTGAACTCATCTGGAGTTGTTTCAGTAACTCTCACAGACAGGCCACATACCAGTCAAACGTGAGTAATGGGCACACACTCATGAGTGCAAACACACACGCACACACACATGCACACATGCACACACACACACACACTGTTCGTTGCGTCGTGTCACAGGCAGCACTGTTGATCTGACTACGGTTCTCTGATATAGTTGTTCTAGAATGACTCACCAGATCCTTGAAGAGCACTTTGATCTGCTTGCCCTCGTCGCGCAGTCGTCCCACCATCCTCTTCCTCATTCTGAGTGACGTGCAGATGATCCTCCCCCTCATGATGGAGCGCAGGTATTCCATCAGAACCCGTCTATGCACCTCTCCCACCAGGACCTGGGAGAGTAACGGAAAGATAAAATGAATCAATCAATCAATCAACCAATCATCCATTCAGTCAATCGATTAAAAAAACATTTTCTCCTGAACATTCACTGCTTGTTTTGTTGCTTAGAATTAAAAACAGTAACAGAACTTTGAATTATTTGTGGACATTGTGCCAGAGGATCTTAGCACGTCCCTCATACTTGCTGTCTCTGCCATGTACCTGATAGGGTGGACTGTCCATCCTGCGGAACTTCTTGAAGTGTTCTTTAATATGGGACTCGATTTGCTCATAGGCCTCTGTGTTGTTGAGCCACTTCCTCTTCACCAGCTTGTCAAAGAAGGGCTAAATGAGAGAGAGAGAGAGAGAGAGAGAGAGAGAGAGAGAGAAGAGATCGAGTAGAGAGAATCGAAGATAGAGAGAGAGAGAGGGCTAGAGAAGAGAGATAGAGATGAGAAGAGAGCTAGAGACTAGATAGAGATCATATGAGAAGCTCCTCTCTCTCTGAGACTCGCGAGCGAGATTAGCTATCCAGCAAGAGTCTCATAGATCTTCGAGCCCTCGCTCTCTCGCTCGTCTCTTTCTACGCGAGATAGAGATCCCTGTTTTAAGGCTAACTGAATCACCCGACTGGGTTTGTGTCTTCCTATCAGGATGTGTGGGTCGTTTGGACCAAGATTTCCACAGATTGTGACTTCCTACCCGACGACAACAGCATAAAAATCCCCAGCTTGGTCAAGAGGATGCGACATGCGGTTCTATGCCCCTGGAGGACTGGCACTGCCCGTCTCTATGGCAGCTATTGAAGAGGAGCAGAACTGCATAGCCTGCCAGTAACTATGTGGCATGCTGCCAATCTAATCTTATTTAACCATGTTTGTCACATTGGAGAGGCTATTTTAGTGCCTCAAATGCTCAGCACATCCCTGAGAACTTTGAGGGCAAGCCATGAGGGGAACACTGATAAGATGTGCTTTATATTCTGGGACACATGGCAGACAGAGGGACGCTTGAGGGCGTTTGTGTGTGTGTGTGTAAAAATTTTACTATACTTGTGAGTACCAGAGGTCATCATAAGAATAGTAAACAAACTAAAATTGTGAGGAAAAAAGTGAGGACATTTTGCCGGTCCTCACTTGTAAAAGGCTATTTTAGGTTTAGGGTTTAGGTTTAGGGTTAGGTTAAGAATTAGGGTTAGGGGTAGGGTTAGGGTAAGGGTTAGATTTAGTGTTAAGGTTTAGGGTTAGGGGTTAGAGAAAATAGGATTTTGAATGGGAATCAATTGTTGGTCCCCAAAAAGTCCTCACAAGTATAGTAAGATATAGCTGTGTGTGTGTGAGGGTGAGGTTGTTTACATGTTGTGTTGGAAAGCTGTGACCATGGGTGTGTTTATGAATCCTGTGTGTGAGTGTGTGTATGTGGTGTGTGTGTTAAGAACACTCACCCTTATGCGCTCATACAGTCTGTCGCTCAGCACCTTCACTCCCTGGTTGACTATTCTGTCCAGGGAAGTGTTTGCTCGCCTGGCTGAGTCCTCACTGATGGCAGGGTCGCACTGCACACAGCGCTGGACAAAACCCCTGCACACACACAGTCACAGCAGACTAATGACTACATTGTACACGTACATGGTTTATGCATGTTCTAAGGAACACTATGATGCAAAACACATCATCAAGGCATTTTTTGCTCTGTACTTGAAAAGGTGAATGCTGACATGTACCATTTGGGGAGATTGTTTTTGAGTATAGTATTTAAAGGAAAACTCCACCAAAACATATCTTCTGGTATTTGTTTCATTAGTCCGTTGTTGATATAGTCCCAAAATGTTTTGCATGTCAGCAATCAAGTCTTCAAGATATATAACTTTCAAAATACAGAAATACAACCGGTGTGATGCGTTTTGCATCCTATGATGCCGCGTTTTGCACCATATGATGCAAAACGCATCATACCAGCTGCAAAACAAATACCAAAAGAGAGTTTTTGGGTGGAATTTTAATTTCAGGCATTATTGGGGAAATGGACCAACTGTAACACAATGCAGGCTAGCCTACTAATGCTACAACAGTCCTACCTGAAAGGGGGGCAGCAGTTGACCAGGGCGATGGTCTTGGAGACATATCCATCCTCATTATCCCCAACCATGTTGACCAGACCCTCATGGAACATCTCTACTTTCCTTTGGAAGCTGGAAGTTAAGCAATATTAACAGTATTAGAATGTCTCATAGAGATGTTCCTTTCGATATTCCAGTTGAACTGGTTGATTCCAGTTGATATATTCTAGCATTATTGCAAAATAAAATGTAGTGGGCAGTGAGAAAACTATAGGTTTGGTCCTGTGTAATACTGTTTAATTATTTGAATGATGACAGAGACTTTGTTCTAGGCCTTAGTATGTAATATGTCATGATACAGTGTGTTCTAGGACTTCTACAGTATGTAATGCTACAGTGTGTGTTCCTCTCACCTGTACAGGAAGTCGGCCAGACCATTCAAACTGCACTGAGCCACACGGGAACTCAGGTTTCTGTTAATGGCAGCTGACTGCTCAAGATCTACCTGCAGCCTCTGCACATACACACATACACACACACACAATGTTGGCAAATGTGTATTATGTGTGAAGTGTAACAGACACTTCCTTTTTTCTTTTATGGCATCTGTGAAACATCAACTGATGCATGAATGCTGATAATGATGTACAGGAAAGTGCTAGTACCAATCATGGCCACTAGAGGCCAGTCAAGTGACTCTCAAACAGTGAGCTGTGACGGAATTCTAAGAGAAGTGTCTGTATTGGCTGCTGCTTGAAACATGTTTTTCTATGCTCCACCAGATGGATGAGCTTATCCTCAAAATACAATGTGACCACATTTAGCATGCAATACAAAACAATCCTGACCGGCCTCAACAAAATCAGGGGAAGAAATCAGTTATTTACATAAGCTCCTGATATCTAGCCCTGTGTGTGTGTGCGTACCTGGATGACGGTGCGAGCCAGTGTGATCTGATACTCCTCGATGTGCAGCGTCTCCATCCAACGCTTCTCCTCCTCATCCAGCACCTGAGACAGCTCTGTGGTCACCTTCTCCTGGAACGCAACCAGACCGCGGTCAGACACAACTCAACCATGCACTGAACCACTGTGAGCTCTACAGCCACAAAGCATCAAAATATTCCCATCAAAATATGCCATCAAGACATCAAGTTGGAAAAGGGTGTAGAATCACAGATAATACTGTAGGTCTGACTTCATTTGTTATGATCTATATCCCCAGTAACAGCTATCCCCTTGTAAACAGCCCCCTATATTTTAAGTGAAGGTTTCCTCCCATTGGTGGGTGACCGCGCAGGGGCATGATTGATTGCCAGCCCACAGGCCACGCTGCCAATAACCCCTGTGCTCTTTTTCCTCTGCAGGATTTACTTGTGGACTATTATGTCTATATGCATGGACCCTGGATCTCCAACACTGAACAGAGTAACCCACATTACAGTACTTTAGCCCACCTGGACCTGACTCGCAAGTGAGTTGCGTAATGACCTGAGCTAAATGGCCTGTTGTCTGGCTTCCATTGTGTGGCGGTCATTACAGACAGGAAAATCACGAGCTGACCCTGAGACGCCGCGCACTGATTGGCTTCACTGGTCGGAGTGATAGCCCTCCCTTTAGGTGGACAGGAAGGACCATAGGTGCACCCTTTCCTCAGGCCGGTAGGGAGACGCGGGGTGCACCAAATGAGGGGGGCCGGGGGGTGAGGGGTGAATGGTCGGCCCTTACCCTGACAGAGTTGAGGCAGTCCAGCTCCAGTTTGTCCACGGTCTCCGAGGGCAACAGCGGCCCCAGCTGGGACCTGTTGAAGGACGTCGTCATGCTGACTGTTCCAAGGACGTCCCTGGAGTGATTACAGTAGGAGGACAGAGTCAGTGGCATACTCATACAGTAACACTTAACTAATAAACTATTGTTTATGTACAGTATAATCAACTGTATTTATGTACAGTATTATGTATAATAACATCACACAACCTTGTAACATGCGTCCATTTCTGACAAGTTTGTGGTTTATGCAAGTTTGTTACAACCTGACATTTAGCTATATACTTTTGCTAATTTCTTGTTTTTTATTCAATTCTACTACTTCCAGAATCTGATATGTGTAAAATCACAAGTTGCAATACACAATTATTGAATGAGCTATTCAATAGTCTACACGCAGTAACCTTTAGGATGGACACCCACCTGTTATAGATGTTGTAGAGCCAGTCCAGCAGAGAGTAGATATCTGTGATCATCAGCTGGTCGTCAGTGATACTCTGCAGTCTGCGGGCCACCGCCTGGTGGTAGCTCTGTAGGTACACCTGGAAGGGTTCGTACTCCTCTGGGTACACTGGCACCACGTTCCTCTTGGCCGCCCCCAGGTCCTCCACCACCCGGGTCCGCACCCTGTCCAGGTAGTCCGCCAGCTCCCCGCCCTGGGCCTCGTTCCTCTGGGGCAGGCTCCCATTTGCTACCTCTGCCACCGCCTCCTTCCACCGCTGCTTCAGCTGCCTGGGTCTGGGTCCTCCGGGGAGCGCCCCCTCACCCTGCGCCCAATCCCGGTCCGCCTGCTCCTCCTGCTGCAGCACTTGCACCACCAGCCCCAGGTTGGGCCCCGCCGTGGGGGAGCGCAGCGACTCACGCACCACCGCCCACAGCTCCTTCTGCAGGGCTTCGTACAGCAGCTCTACGTCTTTGGCTTTGCGCCTGCCGCCGTCTTTGCTCCCGGGGCTGGTGAGGTCCTCTGGGACAGCACCACCTGCTGGCGATGAAGGCAGGGCCACTGCGGCCGCCTCGTTACACTCCTGCTCCAGCTCCAGGATGTGTGTGTCAGCCAGGAGCAGGTCTCTCTTAGTCACCAGCTGCAGAATTTCTAGAACTAAAGGAGAGAGGAGGAAAATGCATCATACAACTCCACATGATAAACCATGCATATGCAATACATTTTACATTTTAGTCATTTAGCAGATGCTCTTATCCAGAGCGACAGAGATCCAGGGTGAGCGCATACATTTTCATACCGGCCCCCCGATCCAGGGTGAGTGCATACATTTTCATACCGGCCCCCCCGTGGGAAACGAACCCACAACCCTGGCGTTGCAAGCGCCATGCTCTACCAACAGAGCTACAGGGGACAATACAGCTGTATTAAGTCAAAAGGTAGAATGGAGACACTATCCTAATGGAAAGATCGGTGGTCTTGCACCCTCACCTGTCTATCTGTTCTGCTACACAACACACGACCTGGTCAAATGGATCAAGTCCTATGTAAATCCAAGACCTACACAAACGTGTCAAAGAGCTATGTTTGTTTTTGCGTCAAAGCTAAAGGCTGAGCCACGGTGTCACTTCCGACACAGGTTCCCACATCAGGTCCTATCCATATCAGAGGCCTGAAAGACAGATGTTGTTTGTCCCCTTTGGCTTGTTGTTTCTGGGCAGATTGGACATGGTTAGACCAATCTCTCTGGAGGTGGGTTAGTTTCATCTCTACTTCAGTTGCACACTTCAAAAGATCCCATCAGCGACATGTGGGTGCCAAAAATAAATCATCCTAGATTCCCAGAGAATGGCTAATTGTGTGTCCACTCACTGTCCTCTCCTTAGACGCTTCTCTATCAGGTTGAGGCCTTTTATTCGGCTAGCATAGCTATGGAATAGTATATAATAAAAGTACATAGTGCTTTGCATTGAAGTGGAGAAATTGTATTTCCTGTGGAACTCCATCTTGGCTTCAGAGAGTTCCCTTAAGTGCATGTAGACTTTTAGAGCCCAGCCTCACCCATTGAGGTGATCTCATCATCTCTTCCTCTGATGTGTTCTGAGAGAAAGTTTTTAAATTAGTACTAAAAGCAGTGATGAAGTCGACCATTTCCCATTGAAGTCACCAGACACTGGGAGGAGCAACACAGCCCGTCAAAATCAATGAAGTCTGATTGTCAACCAGAGGATAAAACCAAGCCCGTACTTTAGGTCTAATAGCCCTTTTTGATTCAGTTCACAGAGAAGTCTGTTTGTCAACTAGAGGATAAGACCAAGTAGAGGCGTCATAACCATAGGGGGCACAATCGCATGTGCGCCCTTAGATTTGTCCAGTTTTTTAGAATGGTTCCACCATTGGGGTTCCAGGACAGAGAAAAGCTTTGACTGGGCTGAGTGGGAGCTGATCTCCCATAGGGGTTGGATGGCCAAGAGACCAGAGGCGGCTGAACGGAGTGCTCGGGTTGGGATGTAGGGTTTGAGCATAGCCTGAAGGTAGGAAGGGGCAGTTCCCCTTGCTGCTCCGTTGGCAAGCACCATGGTCTGGTAGTGGATGCGAACTTCGACTGGAAGCCAGTGGAGTGTGCGGAGGAGCGGGGTGACTTGGGAAGGTTGAACACCAGGCGGGCTGTGGCGTTCTGGATAAGTTGTAGGGGTTTGATAGCACATGTGGGGAGCCCAGTCAACAGAGAGTTGCAGTAATCCAGACGGGAGATGACAAGTGCCTGGATGAGGACCTGCGGCGCTTCCTGTGTGGGGAAAGGTCGTACTCTGTGGATGTTGTAGAGCATGAACCTGCAGGGGCAAGTTACTGCTTTGATATTTGCAGAGAATTACAGGGTATTGTCCAGAGTCACGCCAAGATTCTTTGCACTCTGGGAGGGGGACACCGTGGAGTTGTCCACCGTGATAGAGAGGTCTTGGAGCGGGCAGGACTTCCCCGGAAGGAAGAGCAGCTCCATCTTGTCGAGGTTGAGCTTGAGGTTGTGGACCAAGCTGAGATGTCTGCCAGGCACGCAGAGAGTGTCATCCGCATAGCAATGATAGGAGAGACCACGTAAGGATATGACAGAGCCGAGTGACTTAGTGTAGAGAGAAAAGAGTACACTCTTAGAAAAAATGGTTATTTGCTGAGGGATAGGGTTCTACCAAAACATATTCTGATCTGAAAAATCATTTTTGGAAGACAAGGGTTCTTTGTAAGGCAAAGGGTTCTACCTAGAACCTTTAACATCCTAAGAACCATTTTTGGAAGAAAGGATGTTTTAATTATTATTTGGAAGGCAAGAAGGGTACTTTGGAAGGCAATAAGGGTTGTACATAGAACCATAGCTGTATATCATATTTTCCCAGCATGCTCTATTGCAGGGTGATTTTCAGAATTGTTTGTTTTAATATCTGTGTTTTTGCATATACATTGATTGGTTGAATAATTGTATGCTACACAAAGGTAAATAACATACATTTTTCTAAACTAATCCAATCTGTTAGTAGTTGGGCTTATTGCACCCGTTACTGAGATGGTTGTTCCAGTTTAGATGTTTAAGATAGACTCAGTATTCAACCTTCCCTACCCTGGCAGTCATTCTGAATGCAGGTTGCGGGTGATTAAAAGTTACAATTGTTGGATATCCTAACTCTGGCTGGATTCCAATAGGAATTACACATCACTTTGCAAGCCAGCTTAATGTGACTTGCAGGCATGATGTGGCCTGTAAACCAGCAGTGTCCTAACGCCACTGTGTTAGGGTATAACTAGGCCATCAAAGAAAGGCCTTATGATATATGCAAAGGGTTCTACCTAGCACCAAAAAGGGTTCCCCTATGGGGACAAACCGAAGAACCCTTTATAGTTATACTTAGCACCTTTTTTTCTAAGAGTGTAATGAAAGCATGTGGTGCAGACACAGATCCTCTCCACGCCACCTGGTAGGAGCGACCTGCCAGGTCGAATGCAATCCAAGAGTTTGCAGAGCCTGAGATGCCCAGCCCAACTCTCTCTCCTCTGTTCTCATCCTCTTAGATCTATCCGCTGCCTTCCACAACGTGAACCATCAGATCCTCTTCTCCAGAGGGTGGAGAAGAGAATCTGATGGAGAAGAGAATCTGATGGTTCACGTTGTGGAAGGCAGCGGATAGATCTAAGAGGATGAGAACAGAGGAGAGAGAGTTAGCTTTGGCAGTGCGGAGAGCCTTCGTGACACAGAGGAGAACGGTCTCGGTTGAGTCACCAGTCTTGAAGCCTGACTGGTTAGAGTCAAGAAGATTGTTCTGAGAGTGATAGTGAGAGAGTTGATCAGAGACAGCACGCTCAAGAGTTTTGTAAAGCTTCAAAGAAAGGGAAAGGGAGATACCTAGTCAGTTGTACAACTGAATGCATTCAACCGAAATGTGTCTTCCGCATTTAACCCAACCCCTCTGAATCAGAGAGGTGCAGGGGAATACCGCTCTGTAGTTTCTGATGTCAGAGGGGTCGAGTGTTGGTTACTTGAGGAGGGGAGCAACTCTGAAAAATGCTAAATTCTCCACCCCTCCAACCTCACGTACTTCGTGACACCTCTAAAATAATGGGTGCATGACGCCCTTGAGACCAAGCCCAACTTTATGTCTTTGGTTCAGTCCGTGGTTTTGCTGCCCTAATGTAATTGGCTCCTTGAGTCCCTTTCAAATGACCTCACTTACTGAAAGCAAGTGTAAAATGGAACAGACCCTTTTTTAGGGATTTTGTGGATTCATTTACATAGTTCATTCCAATAAACAGTCTTATGTGCTAAACAAAACCATCATTTTACAGGAATACACCCCTTTAGTTGTTTATGGTTTTCTAGAGCAGAGAGCTTTGAAATGCTCTTCATGCCAGGGCCCAATGAACTGTATACTATGATGGCATTTCAGACCAAAGTTCAGTCAGCTTTCATCTGATGGCAAAGTACACTTGTTGATTAACTTATTGTGGTTATGGGAGTTGGCTGGCAAAAGTGCCTCTATCCGCATGGTGGGATCTGGTGGGTAACAAAAGCATAGCAGAAGTTCAAGAGGACATTAGGACAAATGGAAAACGGTCTCACATTCTAAGTTGCTCATTAACTGACCAATCCAAAGATCAGCCATCAACAGTGTTCCCAGTACCTGAAAGTGTTCCCAGTACCTGAAACTGAATGGTGGATGGAGGAAGCTCTCCAATCATATCTACAAAGCAATAAAGCTAGTAGTATGCATATTTCAATACAGACATATTTAAAGCTTCTAAGCTCTATACGTCAAGGAACACGTCAAGGTATATATTTCCAGGTTTTACCGCACCAATAAACCACTCAGTTTTATGACGGTGAGCTAGTTGTTGGCCCAAGCTATCAGAGTACGGTGCAACTACACCTTTATAAAGCCAACCCTCCACTCAAAGCAACTAACTACAGTTTGTCAAAAAACATTCATGCATTGAATGCTTGCTTGTGTAACATGCATGGAATGGTATTGTGTTACAATAGCTTACTCAAAAGAAAACTCAAAGAGTTGTTTACACATTCTGTGTGATAAGTGCAAGGGAATAGGTCAGGTTTTTACAGTCATTACACGATGTGATTAGAGAGGTCAGTGTGTTGAATCACTGTGTCCTAGAGTGTTTGGAGATGCTTGTATCTGCATACCGCCCAGCCCAAGTGAGGTGACTGGGGCATGAGCACAGCACTGGGAGGAGAAGGAAGCTGTTGGATGAGAAGCAGGAGGAGTCAGCCATGTCTGTTTACTGTCGGCTAGTGAATGGGCTGCTGTGTGTCTCAGCATCAGGTGGCAAACCAATAAGGCTCCCGATCTGCTTGCATAAGTCATTTGTGTCTCTGGACAGCCGGATAGCAATTCACATGCTGTTGTCCTGCACAGCCCAGCAGCATGGCAGGAAATGATGTCATTTCCCCCTCCTACAGTTCATTGGTGTGGTGACTGAACACAACGACCCCAGGAAAAGGGGCAGGGAGGTGTGGGTCTGGGGCGGTGACATGACACCACTTTGGGGACTCTCTTATAGGAATACGAAGCACATCGCACCACTGCTATGGTGCGTCACAGATCAGCTGTGTAAATAACCATCCCTCTCTGTTCGGGGCACCGTACGGCTTCCACCGCAGTGCTGAGTTGTCCGTTTTTTCTCCCCGTCCCCATAAAGGAACTAGAGGATGCGGGGGCGCTCCGCTGCCGGCCTGCCACCTTGCTCATCCTTCCCTGTCCCGCTTGAGGAAGAGAAGTAGCGCCCAGCGATGCCATGGCACCGCCCATACCCCTCCCCCCAAACAACACTCCATCATGGCCAAAGTTGCCTGCCAACACAGCGGAAGGACATCTAAATATAAAACACAATGCAGCCAGGCACATCTCCCTTAAAGAGAGTGGGAGGTGGAAAATGACTGTTCTCCTTCCCTTGTGATAGGAAGACACCACGTCTTCCACATGATGGTTGTCTCCCCCCAGACAGAGCCCTCAGCCTGGGCGTTACCTGACATGACGTGGCTGGTGGTGACGCATCACAGAGGGTGTATAACCGTGTCACCCACTGGGACGATTAGTCAAGCTGTGGCTCGGCCTGCCCGCAATCACCACGTTAAGGTGAGAAGTCAGTGGCCCTCACTTTTAGTAGAAATGGGAGGATTTTTAGAGACCTATAACGTATCCCCTTGAAACAACACCAGATCTGGATTGCCAGATGTTTGAGGGCTCTGCACAGATCTGATGGCCTATTCAGGAGTCATTAAAAGCACAGATTGGCCTGGAATGGGCAGTTCCACAGACGCTTAGCTAAGCTAAAGAGTACATGGGAACACTGGTCTTTTGTTCCAAGGCACTTTCCCCCTAAGCCTGTCATAAGGAACATACACAGCTAATGTATAGCAGTGGCACCACCCTTCCTCAGTGCAAACCAAAAAAGTTATAATGTTGCGAGGGCCGCCTATGGGATCTATGAAGGCTGCGGCTATGGCACATATTATGTAACTTTACCTTGAGGACCTTAGGGGGAAATGTTGGGCTTTTTTATTCCCAAAAGGAGTCAAATAAATTCTTCACTCAAACAAAAGCACTGACTAAGCAAGATATGTAGTGTACTCTCTTTTCAAATTGTGCAGGGTAAGAACGCACCTGCAGAACTGCCATCGAGACGCTCTCCAGTCATGCTGTTCAGAGCCTAGCAGCACAGAGGGTTATATTGTCCAGGGGTGCCAAGCATGAAGTAAAATATGAGCCTCCTTCCTGGACTGCAAAGCCACAGTTCTCTCTCCAGTGAATTCAAAGCAGCGTCACATGTTCCCCTTAAACTGTATCTCTAAGATCCAAGACCCCATCTACACCCACCACCTCCTCAGTCCTCTGCAGGCTTTCTATGGGTACTGTATGTGGACACCTGAGCTGTAGAACCTCAACATCTCCCATTCTCTGGTACCTATTCAGCCTTTATCTGTTTGTGCTGTAGTAAAGCCAACTGCTATGTTCGTTGTCAATGCCAAACAGATCTGGGACCAGGCTAGAGGCAGCCTGCCTGCCTTCACATCTCAGCGTGTGTGAGGCAGATAAATATTTTCCTCCAAAAGCAAAAAATAAAATAAGCAGAGGAGCATCCAACAACTTCCCCACAGCTTCACCAAACTCCCCCATATTTCTGCAGGCACAGCTGGGTCAAATCTGTTCCCCCCTTCCCTTCCTACCCTCTCATTCCATCCCTTTCTCCACAATCCCAAGCTCAGCTACAACAAAGCGAGCCTGGCCCTATCCTGGCCCTGTCCTGAGAAAGCCTTTGGTCCTGGGCCAGCCCTCCAGGCCTTGGTTGTCCCTCCGGATGGAGAGTGACATGGCGTCTATGTGAAGTGAGCGGAAGCCCAGAGACAGAGAGGCCTCCTCCCTAGCCACTCCCTCCCGTCAGCACACACCCAGGCAGGGCTGGGACCGATCACATTAACTCATCCTGGGAGTCAGTAGTTCACTGCACTCAGATTCCCCTTTCTCCTCAATGCTCTGGACATTCGACTGACACTAACAAAACAAACACTAATCAGATCATAGGAAAAGTGCACTCCCTGGGTTGTCACTCTGGCAGAAAAGGCAGCTCTGCCCAGCTTCATTTTTATTTATTTTTTTGACTAACTGATTGCTCGTTATACTGTTTTTCTATGAAAACACACGGACACTTGAAACCGACTGTGCTACAACTGGTGTGTTTCAAGGTCGTATATTGAATATGAGAGGAAGCAGCATGCATTTCATCACGGCTAATATAGCCATTTGTTGCTAGGATCCCAATGTGGACACAGTTTTCACAGCAGCTACTGCAGGACATGAGCCAGCGCTAGTTATGGTTTTATGGTCCAGGGGCCTTGGGGTTGTCATTTGGCAAGGGCTGGAAATCATTCACTAGGCCGGGGCCTGCACCTCCTATATGGTCCTGTTATCAAGGCGCTCTCGGATGCCGTCTGGGCCGCTATAAACTCAACCCAAAGTGGACCCACCCAGCCAATCAGAGGGGTATGACACATAGAGATTATGGCTACAATGTTAGCTGGGTCACCAGCTAGGGCTGATGATGATGGGGGAGCTGGGTTGGGACAGGGGGCTGAGGGCTTGGTCAGAATATGTTGTAATACGACCCTAGCTTTCTGAATACCTGAGGCCAGGTTGGTTGCCACACTCATCTGATTGGAAGAGCACTGAAGGGAAAATTCCATGTGAAGGTACAGGGAGCAGTGTTGAGGTTGCTATAGCTTTGTGCCCTTTCACACCATACAGATTTAACTGCTTTACTTTCTAGGCACGGATGGGTTGCAAGATGTGCTGTGGTATCGCATATGATTACATGTGTCCTTAGTTTCAGTATCTTTCATGTCTGTATTCCCTTTTCTACATTCTGTCTTGAATCATTTAGTATCAGCACACTGCATATTTGGTTGGAAGATTATGAAACAGTAGGCAAATAGTCTGAATAGTCACTCACTCTCCATTACTGAGATATTTCCTGACACTTGAGCACAGCCACACAGTCTACGTAGCCGAGCACAGACTGTTTTCTTTCTGTAATGAACGCCACAATACCGATGTCTGCAAACATACACTGTCCGTTCTGTTTCCTTAGCTCATGGCTCTTTTTTTAGGACCAGTCCAGAAACAAACAGCCTCAAGGAACAAAGGCTTTTTCCATGTTGAAGGAGGGCCCAACTCTTTACAGGGGAATGGCCTGGTGAGAATGTTTGTGCTACTGCTATTAAACCATCTTGTCTTAATAAGAAAATGATGGTGTAAATATTTACCAGCCTCAACATAACCCTGAAAAGACCTTTAAGTTTCAGTTTTGTGGCATGAGGAAATGAATCTAACAAGCTATGACTGAAAGAAACCAGAGTTCCCTACTGGTCATGTCTTTGTGGTTTAAGGGGTTGCTAACAACCAGCAACAGTTTGTGCTGACAGCTGAGAGAACAATGCCAGAAAGAGCCGTGTTTTTCCCTATCAAACACAGTCAAATAAACAAATAAAAGGCCTTTTCGCTGTGGGTCAGCTAGGGGGTTCACCCAAGAAATAACACACATTGTTGAAACACACAGAGTGGAGCACGCATCCCATTCCTCCTCCGTGGATACCTCTTTCATCACTCTCCATACAGCACTCGTGCATGGATCCCCGGGGCGAGGTGTAATGGTGTAAAGCTTTGATATGAGAGCCTGTATGGCTGAATTTCTAAGCCGATCAGGCCATTCTGTCCTGCTTCACTAGTCTCAGATACATCATGGGGCCAAGTGGTGCAGGTAAAATGGCATGAACATGGAGAAGCAGCATCTATCTAAAGATCTATCCGAATGCGTGACGTGTCCTCTGGGTCATAGCAATTGAGGCATGAAGACAACAGCCTGTAAACAACACATCTCAGTGATATTTTGAGCGTGATAAGATGGTATTTGGACTGCTTGCTTACTGAAAGGCCAGGACACAGAGTGAACATGTCTGATCCTGAGCTCTCAGCAGTTTATATCTGCTGTTTGTAAAGCTGGTTTAATGGCCCTCTGCATTCTATTATTATTCTGTTTCCACCACTATAACCCTTATCTTTACTCCTCACACCGAGAGACAGGCAGAACCTGTTAGTAATAAGCATGAAAGCTGATCTCTTGCCATGCTGACATGGTGGAATACCATTACTGAGTACCCACACACTATCCCGACCATTAAGCTCTAGATTGTTAAGTTCAGACTCACCGAATCAAGTTCTGTGCGTTACACATATTTAGTAGACCTATCATTAGAAAATGATTAGTGTATAATAAGCATTCAATAAAAAAATGGTTTTCCAACATTGGATATTCTAAGCAGAATGGAGTCCATTTTCCAGCAACCCCACGATGTGGTTTATGTGTTAATTGTACTCTTTCATACCGGAGACGCCATTTAATGAACAAAGGTGGGGAACGGAACATATTTAATGGTGAGGAAGGCTAGAGTAATAGTGAATAAAGCCCCAACAGCCCCACCTTACATCAAACATTTGTGTGGGAAACCCTTTGGTTGGTCCTCCTGCATTGGGATGGACCGCATCTCTTAACAGTGGCCTAGTTGGACCTGGTCTCCTCTATCCCAGCGCCATCTTTCTCCCATTGTTTCCCAAGTGTCCAAAAATAGCCCAGACATTGAGACATTGATAACATAATCTCTGTTGTGAAAATAGTAACATACTGCAGAGATTATGGCGGGAATTATTGTTTACTGGAAGGGGGCTGACACATGGAATGCCCAGCTGAACTGAAGTAAACCTTGGCCATAACTATCAACTAGCTTCCTGCATAGAGTGCTTCCCTGTCTGTTGTGGTTTTACTCATTGGTTAAAATGTGATTTAGTGATATATTCCACGGCAAAATGTCAGTTTAAATGTTTGGGTTATTATCAGCCACGATCTCCATTCATTTTACCAGTATCTTACCTCCTCAAATGTAATGGTGAGATAGCATAACCTTTAATGTTACCAATCACAGTCAATGAAAGTCATCATGAGACCCCAGAGTGGATCACAGTGCATACTGGCTGATCCTTAGTAGCCCAGCGCTCCACTGAGAGCTGTCCTTACCTGAGAGGGGCTCCCTTGGCTTCACCTCCTCCACCACCTCCACCATCTCCTCTTCATGAGACGAGTGGTCGGCCATGGACTCCCTCTTCAGCTTGCCCAGGCCCACCATCTTCATGAAGGAGAGCCGGCGGCTGGAAGAGTCACCCCCCTCGCTCTCTGAGCAGAGCTCCCCGTTGGGCAGGCTTTCCTTGCGAAGGCTCTCCCTGCACTTCCCTGCAAATCTGTGTGGAGAAGAGGGTGAGTTAAGGGTTAAGGGGTTAGGTTATAGGAGATGTGGGCTGAGCTCAACATCCTCTACTAAACCACTCCTCAACAGCTTTTCTCTACACCTCTCGTACCTGAGTAAGCTTCCCTCTGAGCTCCGTCGGCCCTTCTTCTTCTTCTCTGAGGTGGGGGTGCTTGCTACGGACCCCTGAGGGGAAGGGGTGGCAGTGCCCTTACTGCGGCCTGACATACGGAGCCCCTTGCCCAGCTTGCCCAGAGTCTTCAGCGGGGAGACGCCTCGGATGCGTTCCAGGGTGCCCTTGAACGAACTCTTCCCTGAGCCGCCACGTCTCCCCTCGTTCGCCTCATTCTCATCCTCCTCGTCCTCGAAGGGGTTACGGTCTCGTGGCGCGCCCCCGTCCAGGATTGAGTTTGCCTGAGCCCATTCCTCATTGTCACTGGGCACCTCAAAGGGGCTGGATTTCAGGTTCAGGCTCATCTTGCAAAGGATCAGTTCGCCACGCGTATTCTCCAACTCCCCGTTCACCCTGCTGCCTCCCTTCAGCCGCGCTGGGAGGTTCTTGAGGATGGGCATGCTTCCACTTGGGGGTTAAACTAAGGAACAGAGAGAGAGGGAGGGAGAGATGTGGAATGATTACAGGGGACCTTTCCAAGAGATGCTTCCATAATAGTACAGTATTTGACACATATTTCTTTGTTCATTTTAGTAGGCTACCTGATCAGATTTCTTCTGACACAGATAACGAGGACAGTTACTAAAGTAACTCAGATATACAGTTTAAGATAACAGTCATCTGTTCACCCAATGTTACTGCCGCACCCTTGTGTCGGGTAACAGGAGAGTTCAGATATCGGATGGTTAACAGCAATCATTCTATATAAAGAGTATATCTGATAAAACATTAACAGGTAACCTTCCGCCTTACCACCCAAACAGGAATCACCATGGAAACTCTAACCCTTCTTCCGTTTGGGTGGGAAGGCGGTTGTGAATAGATGTGCTATGTTATCATGGTCATGTGGCTGAGGTCCAGGATCTGGGCCTATTTTATTAGGTTTCAGATCCTTGTTCTACTTTTTTATGCACTACAGTCTTTGATGCCCTTTGATCCTTTTCAAGAAAACATGTTTGTCCCTCTCAATGGACTTCCTGCCACACCGAGCGCCCTGGGATATTTACGGCTGATGACAAGGGGAAGGGACAACGCTGAATCACTTCCTGTGTGTGTGTGTGTGTGTGTGTGTGTGTGTGTGTGTGTGTGTGTGTGTGTGTGTGTGCATGCGTGTGTGTGTGTGTGTGTGTGTGTGTGTGTGTGTGTGTGTGTGTGTGTGTGTGTGTGTGTGTGTGTGTGTGTGTGTGTGTGTGTGCTCAACAAGCTTTGGGAAAATGATGGAGACCACTATTTCCGTGGCCTTATTTTGGGGAAATTGAAAGTGGCATCTGAGAACATTTGAGTGGGAAGTCCTGAACTGATCAATTGAAAACTCAGAGACCTCCTATGCTCACCAATTTACAATGTTCTCCTACCTACTCCTACTGATACTTGATACAAACATAAAACGTATTGATTTTGTTCTAATGAATGAAGATTCATGAATGAATTCTGGGTAAACTAAAAACGAAGTCAGACATTATGAATGATAAGCTTGGATATAACATATTCTAAAACACATTCCATATTAGATTTAAAAAATACTTGATTTATGATGTTTCACAATAACGTGATTTGCTTTACACAAATTATTATGGAACTATTGTTTTGTGGCTTGCCTGAGTGTTTTAGAATGACAATGCGTCTGAATGCTTTTTCCATGTGGGGGGCTGACCATTCAAGGTTTCCCTGTGCAATCAGAGAGCCAACCTCCAGGGGAACCACACTGAGAATATTGTGATACTGTATAAGAGCGTTATACACAGCTGAACTTATTTAGACCAGATCGCTGGCTTGGAAAAAGACCCACCTGTCTAGAGAGGGTATGTAACCATTGGGCAAAGGAAACTGCTACGACTGAGACATTCAACTGATGACTGGTTTGTGGAAAGGGATATTACAGTGAACCCTTTCATTTTTGTCTACACAACATGGACTTAGCCAATACAATGGCTATATGAGTCTAATAGATGTGACCGAATAAGACTCTGGTTATAAATGTGTTACTACACACCCTTACTAATGAGGTCATGACTTTCAGAAAACGCATATGAGCAAACAACAGGAATCAAGCCCAACTAGCGGCATGACAACAAGGAAACAAAAAAGATGCTGAATAGTTCTGCAAAGCAAATGATAGGCATTTCCTTTACTTTTGGTAGAAAACACAGAGCCTCATGAACAATGGCTTTCCAATTTCACAGATGTTCACAGAGGGATGTCAACATGAAGCATGATGTTGACAAACCGAGTTATGTAAGCATGTGGCATTGCCGACAGTTGGTGACACCAGTGACACGGATGTCTGATAAGCTTATGAGAGCGCTGTAACAAGTGGTCCCATGGACAGCCCTCCCTGTTGTGTATCCCTGCTCTCCCACACCTCCTCATCTACTCAGCTACTAAAGCCACACTGCAATTCCTGCTCTAATTATAACCTAATCAGAGCAGCCATTATGAAAGCAGCGGTTAGATCACTGGGGGAGATACGGGGACCACTTTCCCAGACTAACTCCACTTCCTGTCTCGTCCAGGACCAAGTAGCGGACAAAAGGGACAGGTCCCCTCCCCTCCACCTCTGCAACGGGCCAACGGCACAACTCACCAGCCAGGCCAGCCATATCTGTTTTGTTTACGCACACTATCGAAGGTCTCATCTCTCTTGACAAAGATAAACTTCCAAAGCTTGTACACCATGTCCTTCTGGATTGGCTGGATATGTATGATGCCAATGTGTTGTTTATTAGCCATATCAACAAACAACCCTCTTTAATCTCATGTCTTGAGTAAGCCGACGCTCAGGCTAGACCTCTAGCTATTTCACGTTCCAGAGACTAAGAAAAAGGCTTTTAATAAGTTTGAACTGTTGAACTGAACGCAATCGTGTGTAATTAAAGACTTCACTGGGTCCAAAGTCCCCTCTCTGCAGACATCTTGTCTCTTCTATGAAGGTCAGAAGGGAAAGAGCGGGCATCAGGCTACTGCAGAGAGACCAGGCCTGCCGTCAAGATGTGGCAGATATGAGGGGCTCCGCTCCGGCTCCATCCTGGCCTGAGGCCAGTGCTTAGAGGAGATATTGTTGGAAGGTCCCCAAAAACATAAGGTCTTGTATAACTTTCCTTGAGGACAGAAACTGTCCTGAGAGTGACAGTGTTATGGAGACTGGCGACATGGGTATGTGAATGCAATATAACATGTTAGCGGCATAGGAAATACCTGTAGGGGTAAGTACGATTACATTGGAAAGACTGTTTTTTTCCTCAATTATTTCCTCATCTACGAGGAAAAATGAATCAACAGGTGATTTCGCCCTTCAATGTCCTTGATGGGCCAGATTTCATCTCAATCAAGGCTTCCAATCTCAGTGTTGGCTTTGAACAATGAGCTCTAATACTTTATCAGTCATCAGGATCATATTAAGGGATGAAGCAATGCAGCTCACTATCATTTCAGCATTGTTCAGTAGTTGCAACAGTTAACACAATTGCTATGTGTGCCCTTTAAGACTTCTGCAAAGATTGTGTTTTTTCCATGACACGTCCCTTATTTCAACATATTTAGGGCAGTAAATTGTTAACTGTTCTCTGGTAGACCCATGACTAAATACACAGGGCTGTCTGTGAGCAGAACTACAGTTTGGGGATAGGGATCCTCCAAAAAAGAAGTGAACTTTCCTGATTTTCTTCTGCAGGAATAAAATATGTCACAGTCAGCTCATTTAGAGTTCAATTCTCCTGAGAGTGGAATAAATCATGAATCTCTTGAAAATGCTTGAGTTTATAAAGAGAGTCAAGCTCAGGGTTCTGCATTAGAGACTAATCTCATCAGTTAATAAATAATATTTATTCTGCAAAGGTTGTCTCAGGCCAAACCTTTGTAGAATAAATATTATGTATTAACTGATCAGATTAGTCTCTAATGCAGAACCCTGAACTTGACTCTCTTTATAAACTCAATAATTTTCAAGAGATTCAGGAATGAGCCACTTCCCAAACTAGCTACAGATTGTAACACCAGATAATGTGATTTAACATTTGTTTTGTTAAATTGTCTAGTATTACAATCTGTAGCTAATCCCAGACCAGAGTTTGTCATAGCCTACTGCCACAAAAATATAACACAAAAGCTGAAAATCGGAGATAATCTCTGCAAATACCTTTCAATTAAAATATAGCACTTTATGTTTCATCATACACAACATAAAAACACTGAAAAATAATTAATACAATAACAACCTGTAAATGTATCACATTTCCCTAGACACTACTGTTTGTAGGTTAATGCCATTTGTCAATGTCATCAGTGTCAGTCCATTAGTAACAAAATCATCATGAATATCCAATAACAGTTAGAGAAACTCACAACAGATTAATCTACTTACATGATTCATGATTGCTCGCTTATTAAAAACATGCACCAAAAATACAAAATAAAAGTGAAATCCTAGAACTAGTCACAAACCAAGATAAGGTTGTCTCGTCAGGTGAGAGAGTGCTGAGCTCAGTGCGTTGCTGAAAGTTCCGTAAAGCTTCCACCCTTTATTTTCTGTGGGCTGGCTTCTGGACTCCTCGCCTATCGCTGTCACTCGCAGCAGCAGCGCTGGCATCGCGCAAAGGCATTGAAAGCAGTGCGACTGAGGTCTCTAGAGTTGCTGTTAGAATCAAGTTAATACGTTTTCTCTTACAGACTTGTAATGCCACGCTGTCTTTTCTGCGCGTTTCCAGTAAATAGTATACTTCCGCGTAATGGAAGAAAATAAACAGACGGGATTCCCCTTGAATTTCCAATCAGGTGCTACGGTGCTACAGTAGGCTACCTCACCTGTCACATTATGACCCATGATCAGCCAATGTCATGAGTTTCTGGCAGTCATCCCAACTGATGATTTATTAGGAATGTAGACAGTTTATTCACAAAAGAGATGCATGATGAAATGTTATTATGTGTTATGCATTGCATTATTGTGTTATGCAAGCCTACCTTTGTCTGTTCTGTGAGAGTGACACCCTCTGCAGTCTACATAAATAGGATGCTATCATAATGAGCATTGATGGCAAAATTCCATGATGGATATTGTAGGGTAGGTGGTGCCATAGAGTTATCATTTAATCCTAATAGGCTCCCTACACATATTTTGCCAAGAGAAAATGTCCATTAAGATTGAATGCAAAAGTTCACCTTGTGCCTTCTGAACGAATGGAACACATCCCTCAACAGGTCAATGGCCTGTCTCTGCCCTTCTGTCTGGACTCACTGGCCTGTAAGTTGTACAGAACAAACGGCCTCAGCACGTGCTGAAAGGAAGTCACTCAAATACATATTAGTTCACTCTCAAAAATACAATAGGAGTTGTGCGCGAATGCGTCACGGCGGGATACATTTCATTTGTGGCAGCCAATAAGGACGCCATTGTTTGGAGCCGTGTTGGACGAAACACCACAGACTACACAAACTCCAGTTTTTCTCTAAATTCTGGCACTCAGTAAAACATTGAGAAATCAGTTTGAGCCTGGGAGGCTGAGAGTACGGTAAACAACTGGGGAAAAGCTTAGCCGCTGATGTATTGATGTATAAACAAAGGATGGTCCCGAGAGTGCCCTTTCGGCCTGGCTGACCTGGAAACCATCTTAACATTCTACAAGGTTAAGTCATGGGGCAAGTCAGAGAGTCTAATACACATGAATTACAAATATTTACTCTCTATAGTTGGTGGACACTTTAGAATAGCAATAGTTTCTCGTAAGTGTCTTTTGCACAACGCTCACCAAACAAGCATAAAACTTTTAGTGATTTTGACTTTGAAAATGGATGGTGATACTGATTAACCTGAGCTGCCGCCGGACATAGACTCTGAACCGAAATAATGAGTAGCCACTACCAGTCACCTTAGCATGCAGTTCTTTAAGGACAGTTGTGTACTCAAGTCATGGTGGAATGCCATAACTTATTTGTCAGGGCCAATGAGTTGCATGAAGATACACTACACCAGGGGTGTCAAACTCATTCCATGGAGGGCCTGGTGTTTTTGGTTTCAACTAAGCCATAGACAACCAGGTAAAGGGAGCTCCTTACTAATCAGGGACCTTAATTCATCAATCAAGTACAAGGGAGGAACGAAAACCTGCAGCCGCTCAGCCCTCCGTGGAATGAGTTTGACACCTGTGCACTACAGCATGGATTTACCCTCGCTGAGATATTAGAGAAAGTCACTAAATGCATTGCACACCATTTCCGTTAGGTAGCCTAGCGTTTAAGAGTGTTGGGCTAGTAACCGAAAGATCGCTGGTTTGAATCCCCGAGTCGACTAGGTGAAAAGTCTGTCGATGTGCCCTTGAGCATGGCACTTAACCCTAATTGCTTATGTAAGTTGCTCTGGATAAGAGTGTCTGCTAACTGACTAAAATGCAAACGTGATACAGTTCTGTATAGTCTCTCTGGCCAGAATCAGGGTGCTCTGCATGCTCCAGTGGTTGTAAGAAGAGACGATGTACTGCATGGATATGAGAGTTGGAATGAAAGATATCATCTTTGACACCTTTCAGCATTCCATTGAGTGAGTCCTCCCATGTCCTGTCCCAAACAGCCAAACTAATCAATTACAGATTGCATCTATCTGAGTGGAAACACTGAGCACACTACTAGTCGGGTCTGTTCCTGTTAATTGGCATGGGGGTGGTGAGAGGGACAGGAAACATAGCCACTGGCAGCACATCTAAGACGTGCTATGAATACAGAGTGGCTATTTCACTGTGTGATTTGGCTTCTATATAGAGGAGCCCGCAAATGGAGTGTATTTCAGGTTTTAGGGAACAGGAAATAGCACTGCATAAGATTGTCTTCTTCATTGTTAAGTGCAACATTCTCTCTCTGTCTCTCCATCCTTTTCCCCAAGCTGTCACATCAGTTCACCTTGGCAGAGTTTCAACGGTTTCGTAATGGCCCCCAGCAGACCTGTTGGTTCATGTTGGATCCTAAAGGGCCAGCGGTAGTATTATTTTGGTTTTAGATAGTGAGTTATCTTTAGGAATGTGGAATGGATTCCAAATCTTTCTCATCTCAGCAGATTGAAAAGACAGGCAACACAATGAGGGTAGTTCTAGTTGCTCAATACTTATCAGCTCTACCACTGAGGTTCAGGAATTCCTAAACGAACAAGATTGTATGTGATTAGAAAAGGGTTCCATCATCTGCATTAACTTTCACATTCTCAAACCATGCATATTATGCAGTGGCATCTGCATTCACATGTTTGACAAATGGGCAGGTAACACTTTGCTTCAGATAAGCCAAAAGATACTAAAAAAAAATCTTTAGAAACCACTCTGTCCACACAACCCCAGGCTGTGTGTGTTTCTCCAAAACCACAGACCACTGGTATGGCCCTGGAACCACTGCCAAACCACTCAAGGCTGGATGACACAAGGCGCAGATGTCAGTTCAACGTCTAGTTTTGATTTACATTGGATTGAGTTGTTAACTAACGCGAATTCAATGTGAATTCAACAGAAAAAATCACCATGTCACCCTCTCTGGCCAATCAGGACATTTTCCTTGTTTGTCGCCATGGTTATGTAACCTTCCCCAAGGCAGCACCTGTGTGTGGGGTCATCGGGGGGCGCTCCAATCATAGCCTGCCTGCATCCTGCACTGATCGCCCCACACGGGCCACGGGAAGCCCCCTCGGAGCACCTCTACCACCCCTCACTGAGTGAAGGGCCCCTATTGAATGCCCTCGGTTCATCAGTCTCAGTGCATCAATCTGTCTCCTGTCCCACTCAAACACACACAGTCAACAGTACAGGAGGAATTAAGGTTATCCTTTATTTGCGCTGACTGCAGTAGGTAGCATCCTGGTGCCTTCACGATTCACCATCTGAGGAGCGGATAGACGTCAAACTCGTTCCCTGACCTGAAGAGGTTCAGAGCGTTCTAATTCAATGCTAATTCAGGTGGACGGCAGAGGAAGGTAGCTAGCTTATCACTCAGCAGGCGAGTCAATTGTAATGTAGACTGTAGGAAAAAGTGGATAAAAAAGCATCTGACAGAACAATTTTCGTCATCAAAGGGTATGCTGTAATGGCTTGGTGACATAATTATGGCTTGGTGACAAACCACACATCCCATGTTTCTCTCTCTGCCTAAGCGTTTCCTTCCTGAGTTAAACTATTTTGCAATCATGACATTGGTTCCGCTGACCTTGGCAAAATGACCATGATGTCCTCAATTTGGCAGGCATTTCTATATAAAATAAAAATAAATAGGTCATTTAGCAGACTCTCTTATCCAGAGCGACTTACAGGAGCAATTAGGGTTAAGTACCTTGCTCAAGGGCACATCCCCAGATTTTTCACCTAGTCGGCTCTGGGATTAGAACCAGAGACGTTTCGGTTACTGGCACAACGCTCTTAACCACTAAGCTACCTGCCACCCATACCTGTCCCTAATGTTGATAAATAAGTTGCAATTTTTTGTCATGTTTGTAATGCTTGCTGTTGTTTACTGGTCATAGTACACTGTCAAAATAGAAAGACTCAAAACACCAGGATTGTCTAATGAAACCATGAAAAGTAGTGCACTTAACCTGAGATCTGGTGTTTGGAGGGTGCTTGAATGTAAACCCAATGTAAGTGTTATGATACACAGAATGTGTTTTAAAACAGAATGGAAGTACTCTGAAACACCCAAAGTGGTTCTTCAATCAGAATATTGGTGTTTTTAAGAGAGGGTTGTGAAAACACTTTATGGGGTTTCAGTGCATGTAAAAGGCAGCATCAAAACACATTGGAATTGCATTTTAATGTTACATACTCAACTACACAGCCACACTGTAAAAATATGATTCTGGGGCGAATGTTATTTTACCAAAACATTTAAGAATAAATCCAACTTAATATGTTGCTCAAAATGTAAGTATCTTTTATGAGGATAACCAAAGATAGAGAAAATGGAGTGACTGAACTCATTGGAAGTCTCTGGTTTAATCTGCTTGCACTTCCTATCTTGCCACATAACTCTGTTTTTAGAGAATTGTGGGTAATTCAAAACATGTTGACATTCTTATATACACAATGTTGTATGCATGTTTGAAAAAATTAAATTATATTTCTATATTAGTATTATTAAGCAGCTTGTTGTGCCATGAGGGGTAATGAATCATGATGAATGGATATCAGAACCGTCAGGCAAATTGACGTTCAATGATGATACGACCCATTCCCACATTTCCTACTTCAAATGGTGGAGGCAAATACAGTATCCTTCAATGCTTACTGTAAAACCTCTAGCTACTGCTGGAGAATTTAGCACTGTGGTCAACAATGCCTACCAAAATGGGTTACACTTACAAATGATTAAATACATAAATCAATGTTAAACATTAAAGTACTCCAGAAGACGTGATCTAATTCTGCACTAGACAGGATTTGAAACAACATAATGGTGTTAAGAAGCATTAGAGAAAGGAAACGACACCAAAAGAGAAGGTATCTAATTCTGCACTAAACACGGAAATAGTGTTTTCAACCATTTATGGTTGTGCTCTTGGCAAGGTGTTGCTCAATACCTGATTAAGTGATGTCACAACACACCTGTTTCAAAACATCTCAG